AGAATGAACTCGTCATAATTGATGATTGTGAACAGAAATACACACCGTTGGAAGGAAATAGAACAAACTTGGTACAAACATCATGGGCAATGCTAGGCCTAATGTACGGTGGACAGGTTAGTTAGTATCATTTTTGAGGTAGCGGCTAGCATTTGTATTCTTCAAGTATTAATTCAAATAATAATGTAGGCGGAGAGAGATCCAGCACCTTTACATAAAGCAGCAAAGTTGTTGATTAATGCGCAAATGTATAATGGAGATTTCCCTCAACAGGTAACAACACATTACATTAGGTCCTTCCAAAGCAATACAAACTTGTTTTGTTCAAAACTAGTAACTTATAATTGCAGGAAATGACTGGAGCCTTCCTGAAGAACTGTATCATGCATTATGCCCAATATCGCAACATTTTCCCACTTTGGGCACTCGGAGAATATCGTAAACGTGTCTGGCCATCCAGAGCCTCTAAGTAAGTGGGATTTGTTACATATTCCCAACCTTCTTTTGTTATTTTACAGAGTAAATGTATCAAGTTTCGACCATGTTGAAAAATGTGTTTGAGCAATAAAACAATGAATATTTCACATATTTTTACCTTTTCTTATTGTGATTATTTAACCTGAATGGCAAATCTTCCTCTCCTCTCATTGATGTAACAAAAAATTAAGAATTTGTCGTCTGGCAATGGGCTGATGTTGGAGTAATTATTTGGTTTTTCCCTCTTAATTGTTCCTATTCTTGGTTTTAAAGTTTCTACCTAAAAGTAGAAGAGTTTGGAAAAGTGCCAAGGGGGAGTCCTTCAAATCCTTTGTAAAATTGTTTAAAGTACAAATAAATCAAATACGTTGAGTACAACAAGTATTTTTTGTTTTACATGGGTAAACTGAATCATTTCTAAATGATTTGGTCCGATTTTGATTCGAAATGTTGACTGGTCCATGTGAAGCCAAAACTATGGTTTCAAAACCACAATTTTGATTTTAGGTTCGATAGTTTTAGGATTTTTTACTCACCCCCAATTAGGGGTGTCAATGAGTCGAGCCGCAAGCCGAAACTTTTTGCTCGGGTTCGGTTCAAGTAAAAATGGTTCGAGCATTTTTTGGTCGGAGCGGAGCAAATTTAGGCTCGACCCGAGCTTTTGGCTTGGGCCTTGCCAAGCCAAGCCAAGCCAAGCCGGCTCTTTTTTTTTTTAATTCGTGACATATCTATTTTTTTTAAAGAATTTAAAATTGTGCAATTTATACGTATTATAAATAACAACTAAATATTAACATATTAAAAAAATTACAGTTAAAATTAAAAGAAAAAATTTAAAAAAGAAGAAGTGGCTTTTCATAGCTTTTTTTTTTAAAGTTTTGTAATTTTTTTTTATTTTTTAGGCTCACGGGTCGGCTCGAGCCGACTAAACTCAAGCTTTTTTCAAACCGAGCCACGAGCCGTCCGAACCGATGATCCATATTGACATCCCTACCCCCAATAATACTGGGGTTAAGGATGGCATCCCATCTCGAGTCTTGGGTCTATTTACATATGGGGGGGTATTTCACATATTGGGCCATTACACGATGAGTTGAGCTACAGAAATCCGTCAACTGTAGCCTTGTCGTATAATTGGACCAAGATGCTCAAGTTTCGGCCCAGTATGGCATCGTCAAATGGGTTGGATCATGGGTCATAAAAAGTGGGCTCACTGGACCAAAGCAGCACCAACTCAGAATTCTTTCGGTCCCCGTTTGATTTAGATGAAAATCAAATTTTTAATTGATTTTGATAATGAAATATGTGATTGGAAATTTGTGTATCTCATAAAGTGTATTATTAAAATTAATTATTATTTTTACTTAAATTTCAATCACTTTTGTAGCTGAATCAAGCATGAATTAAGTTTCTTGTATTAAAAAAAATATTTTTTTAGGTAGTGCTATGAGTACAACACTCCATTACAACATTGGATTACAAACTGACGTGGCCATATCTAAACTGATTTTTTTGACAGTAAGTATATTGGGTGTAATTTTTCACGACACAATTTTAACATTACCCATCTTTACTCTTAGTTATACATGGAATTGTAATATAGTTAGATATCATATGCCTTCATGTTTCAGATTTTGTAGATAACTGAGTGGGAATAAAGATGTGGAATTTAATTAACATGATTTATTGTTATTTGATAGTGAGCAATACCAGTCATACTTAGAGATGTAGAAAAAGGTAAAAAATGCTGTGATTTTTCTGGATTTGAAGCATGACCTGCATGTTTCTGGTCATCGTCTTCATACCAAAGAAGTTCTAAGTTATTGAATCAAATTGTGAAATGAGAATGCTGATTTTGGAAGCTACTTTATTAGTCCCCGTTTGAGCCACATTAAATTAAATTTCATTACATTAATTATTTATAACTTTGCAAAGCTAAATTTAATTTAAACAAATAACAATTACATGCATTTCTAATTACTATTATCAAATATTTATAGTATAAGTACATCCCAACTAGCTTGACACCTACTTTTATTATAATTTCTAGTTTAAGACTTTAAGTACATTCCAACTAGGTTGNAGTGACACATATCGCCCCCGTTTGAGCCCCATTTTTTCTCGTGCCATTACATTAATTTTTTTCTCTCTTCATTTCAACCACACATTCATCAAATAAAATAATATTACACACAAATCTAAAACCTTTCAACTATACATTCTCCCATCAATCACTATTCTAAAATTTCAACCCCCAAAAATGGGGGCCAAACAGGCACTTAATGTCTCAACATTAAGTGAAATTGTGCAATGACAATGAGCTTATTGCATTACCAATCATTGTGTATTAATTTCATATGGTTTTATTATGTTATTATACTCTTAGAATGGCAAGAAAAAATTCAGGTATATGTCACAGTTGTAGGCGTAAGAGCCACTTCTTTGGAGAATGCCCGACGAAACGCAGATGCCCACAGTGTATCAAAGGTTTCCAAAAGTGTTTTGAGGTCGAAAGGGATACTTCTAACAAAGGTAAATTCTTCAAATGTTGTAGTGAGAAATGTGGATTTTGGGAGTGGTGCAACATTGGAGAATCAAGCGGTGATTGTAGCAACGTTAGTCATACTGAAATTGACGATATGTCCCGCATGTTCCAATCTCAAGTTCGGGTTAAAGACCATGAAGAGATCCATATATCTCTGAACGTGACGATCTCTAAGAGAAAGTGAAGTGCCGAAGTAAACACGAACGGAAGGGGTCGGGTTGATTAGTGTCGATTGCTTTCTTAGCAATTTGGTTTTTCTCTATATGTAGAAATAATTTAGATTGCTCGTTTGTGTAAATTAGTTTCTAGCTGCTTTAATGTGTAGTGGATAATGAAACAATTTGAGTTCAGTTTTTTAGACTCGTAAATTCCGGTCCATGTTAGCTGCTTGTACTTGTTCATTTTTGTGGTGTATAACCAACAATCCTTCTGGTGTATTTATTCATCAAAATACATTTAGTACAAGCACTTGAAATTGAGATTCATAGAAATTGCTATTATAAGAAATAAGAGCCTTGCAATATACCACATTAATTGGAAGTTTTCATGGTAGAAAACATGTACAAGAAACTATGCAACTTCATCTTTAATTTATACAGCATTCCACAAGGCCAAACTTCAAGAAAATAACAAGTGAAATTGATTTTAATAAGCACTATATTTTTGCCTGACCAACAGTGCATTTTGGCCTTTTTGAGGATAGTGACTTCGAATTGATTCATTAACGTCATAAGCCCGTACCTCCTTGATAGTAGTATGGATAAGGACGACCTAAAACACAAGAAGATTAATAAATACACTATAATAAATAACATTTTACCTTGAGGATTGAGTATAAAGTTCGTTGACGACGGACGGATGGAAGTAGAAGACGGTAAGTGTTGTGTTAATGAGTGACTTTTTTCATTGCCCTGTAATAAATAACATCGTCTTTAACAAAAAAATGAAAAAAACAAACAAATGAAAATAGTATGGTAAACCTACTAACCAATAAAAGTTGTGAATAAGAGAATTGTAAACACGTGGAAGATAGTTCTTGTTGACATGCATCAACATCAAGGGTACCCACTGGTATACTGTTATGCATCGTTGTTGATCTCTTTCCTTTGCATGTCATTGAAGGTGCCTGTACGTACATTCGAATGACGGAGAATTATTTTTAGAGTTTCGTTTACATTTAGAGGAAAACAAACTAAAATACCTTCTTGTTCTTCGAAGTTGACTCCAATGGGCTCTTCCTTCGAAGTTTCTTAGGCGCGCCCTTTCTCTTAGTTGATTTTGGATCTCGTACGCTCCCACTGCAATTACTTTGTGAACCAGTGCCTTGAGAGATTAAATGCAAATTATGTTGCGAAGGGACATTGCTTCCACTATTCGACTTTGTCATCATAAGCTTTTTATGTTGAACTTGTATCCATTCCATTATGGTACGAGTCCAAGCTTCATCATCTGCAGCAAGGTCTGCAACTTTGGCGAAAGCCTGACACATATCATCATACCTTAACTGTCCGGAGTACTAACCAGCCCATCATATTTTACTGCGATCTTCATGTACGGTCTATTGACATCTCTCCTCCATCTCCGCAATATATACCTATCAGGCAATTGAGTGACATTGTTATGGATCAATACTGCAATCGCATGTCTGCAAACTATTCCCTGAAACTCAAATAAATGGCAACTACAAACAATTTCACATTTCTCTCTATTAAATGAAATAAAAAATGTTTTCTTCTTCCGTCGATCGGCACAAACGACATCCTCCAGTACCTCGTACGTGTTCCCAGAAAATTCCTCCGAAACAGAAATGAGGTCACAATAAACTTTACCCGCAAACTCAGCTTGAACTTCCTTGAATTTTGAAATTGTGTACACTGTCTGAAATTGCTTCTCTATTTCGTATATTGTAGCATACGGAACCATTTGGGAGAACGACTTGAAATCAGTTGGAACTCCTTCTCTACCTTGTTCCTCATTGCTCGCTCATATTGTTCCACAAACTGTTTCAAAGAGGTTTTCGAGTGTACATACCCATCGAAAAATGCATTAATACTCTCGCTACGCTGTGTTGTCGACATCCCAGCCCAGAAAGTTGTTTTCAAGAAGCATGGTACCCAACGAGCTCTATTCTAGTATAATCCCGACAACCAATCATTATCGTCTAAATCATAAGTTTCGATCATCGATTCCCAATCTTGTTCAAATTCTTCAACCGTCTCGGAATCATAGACCAATACACGTATTGCCGAAA